ATCCGCCTGCCTCTGCCTCCCAAGTGCTGGGATTAAAGGCGTGCGCCACCAACGCCTGGCTGGCTAGTCCTTTTCTTGTTTTGTTTTTTGGGAGTTTTGTTTGTTTGTTGTTGTTTTGTTGTTTTTCAAGACAGGATTGTCTGTATTGCTTTGGATCCTGTGCCAGAACTAAGTCTGTAGATCAGGCTGGCCTTGAACTCACAGAGATCTACCTGCCTCTGCCTCTCCTGAGTGCTGGGATTAAAGGTGTGTGCCACCAACACCTGGTGGCCCTCTTAAAATTTAACATTTAATTTTATGTGTACAAGTGTATATATGTAAGTATATACACCACATGTATGCCTTGTGCCCAGAGGTCAGAGATAGAGATATCAGATCCCCTAGAACTGGAGTGATTTAACTGTGAGCCACCATGTGGGTACTGAGATCTAAACCCAGGTCCTCTGCAGGAGCAACAAGTGCTCTTAACTGCTAAGTCGCCTCTGCAGCCTTCACAGTATCCTTTCTGATCCTTTCTCCCCATCTGCCTCTTCCATTTTAGCTTGTCTTCCTCCTCAGATTAAAATGAGGAAATATATTTGGGGTCCTGGGGGGTGGAGATGTTTTGTTTGTTTTTAGACTGTCCCTCTATGTAGCTCTGGCTGTCCTGGAACTATGCAAACCAGGATGGCCTCAAAGCACAGATCTGCCTGTATCTGTCTCCCTGTGCAGCATCAGATTAAAGGCATGCACCATCATGCCTAGATTTGAGACTGGCCTGTAGCTGAATGTTCTTCTCTGTCCCACTGGCCCCCTGGACCCCAGCTCTCGGCCACCTGAGGCCACTTATAAAATAATAACTCAGAGGTTAATATCAAATATAATTGTTTGGCCAATGGCACAGGCTTATTACTGGTTAGCTATTATAAATTAACCCATTTTTAATAATCTGTGTATCACCATGCAGCCATGGCTTACCAGTAATGTTCTGGCATCTTACCCCTTCAGCAGCTACATGGCGTCTCCCTGACTCTACCTTCTTTCTCTGTTTGGATTTCCCACCTAGTTGTAATCTGTCTGGCCACTGGTCAAATCAATGTTATTATCAACCAATAAAAGCAACACATATTCACCACACACTGGCATCTGCCACTTAACATAATGACTTCCAGGTTCCAACCATTCTCCTGGAGACAACATGGTTGCATTTTCTTTAAGGCTGAATAAAACACTACTGTTTATATATAACATTTTTGTTATCCAGTTGTCTTAGTTACTGTTCTATTTGTGTCCTTGTTGGAGGAGGTGGGTACTTGTTGAAGGAGGTGGGTCCTTGTTGGAGGAGGTGGGTCCTTGTTGGAGGAGGTGGGTACTTGTTGAAGGAGGTGGGTCCTTGTTGGAGGAGGTGGGTCCTTGTTGGAGGAGGTGGGTCCTTGTTGGAGGAGGTGGGTCCTTGTTGGAGGAGGTGGGTCCTTGTTGGAGGAGGTGGGTCCTTGTTGGAGGAGGCGTGTCAATGGTATGGGCTCTGAAGTTTCAAAAGCCTACTCTAGGCTCAGTCTCTCCACCTGCTGCTTGAGGGTCAGGGTGTAAAGCTTATCTATGCACTTTATTCCACTGCTCTGCCTTCCTGCTGCTGTGCCAGTACCAAGCTGGTTTTGTTACCATAGTTACATACTACAAAGTCAATTACCTGATACCTCCAGCATTGCTCTTTTTGCTCAGGACTATTCTGCCTATTCAGTTCATTTCCATACAGATATTGGGGTTGTTTTTTCTATCTTAGTGTCAAATACCATTGGAATTTTGATGGGGACTACACTCAATTATGTATCACTTTCTGCAAGTCATTTTCACAATATTAATTCTGCCAAGCCATGAACACAAGTAGTCTTTCCAATTTCTACTGCCTTCTACTCTTTCTTTCTCCGATGCTTTATATTTTTCATTGTAGATTTCAACAACTTTGGCTAAGTTTATACCTATGTCTTGGGTTTTCTTTTGAAACTTCAGTATCTGGAATTTTCACAAGGTTTTCAGGGAGTTCCCCCTGATGTAAAAGCATAACAGAAAAGTTAACTGATGTTCATATGTTAATTTTGTATCCTGCTACATCGCTGTGTTTATCACATCTTAGTCTTCTAGCAGAGCAGTTAGTCTTTTAATTATAGGAATAATAAGATCTGCAAACAAGGATAATTTAACTTTTCTTTCCATATCTGTATCACTTTTATTTCACTCTCTTGTCTTATTGCTTAGGCAAAGATCTCAGTTACTACACTAAAGAACAGCAGTGACAACACATGCTCATCTTGTTCCTAATTATAGAAGAATTTGTTTTCCTTTCATCTTAAAAATGATTTGATTTACTGAGTTCTTGCATTCCTTTCCTAGTTTGCTTTCTATAATAAAACACCATGGGGGCTGGAGAGATGACTCGGAAGTTAAGAGCACTGACTGAGGTCTTGAGTTCAATTCCCAGCAACCACATGGTGGCTCACAACCATCTGTAATGAGATTTGGTGCCCTTTTCTGGCCTGCAGACATACATGGAGGCAGAATGTTGTACACATAATAAAATCTTTAAAAAAATAACAAAATAAAACACCATGACCAAATGCAACTTGTGGAGGAAAGGGCTTATTTTAGCTTATAGTTTATAATTCATCATGAAGCAAAGTCAGAGCAGGAACTCAAGCAATAATCTGGAAATATGAACATTTGGTAGAGAAGCTAGGTCACTATCTCCATCATGCATTTCCAAAATCCCAACATGGTCTTGATGGTCACAGATTGCTTAATGCCATCTACACCAACTCAAGTATCTCTCCATTGGACTCCGCGATTTATTGAACCCAGTGTTGTCGCAAAGGTGGTGGGCTGGAGTTTGGTGGAAATTAAGTAGTACTCACACAAGAGGAAGAGAAAAACCAAGGCCAACACCACGAAGGATGGGCAGCTTTCAAAATCTTTAAGGGAGTCTTCTTAGTGGGTAGCCTTTTCATTGGGTTGATCTCCACTGGTATTTTGCTCCAGATTCATGCAGACACAGAAAGTGCTGGGTATATCTACTCTGTCCATGATAGTAGTGTTGCAGAATATTATTTTAAGGTGTGCTAAATTTGTTTATGCTACATTTGTTTAATGATGCTAAGATGTGATGCTTTTGTTTATGCTGCATTTGTTTAACTCTGTGAAGCTGTGATTCTTTGCCTGATATAAACACCTGATGGTCTAATAAAGAGCTGAATGGCCAACAGAAAGGCAGGAGAAAGGATAGGCAGGGCTGGCCATGCAAGATAGAACAAGGAGAGGAGGACATCAGGAGCCAGCCACACAGCAGCCAGCCACAGGGAAAAGGAAAAAAAAAGCCCAAAGGCAAAAGGTAGATGGGATAATTTACGAAAAGCTGGCTAGAAACAAGCCAAGCTAAGGCTGGGCATTCATAAGTAAGAATAAGCTTCCATGTGTGATTTATTTAGGAGCTGGGTAGTAACGCCCCCCAAAAAAAGAGCAAAGAGTGACAACAGCAGCAGGAGTGAAGAGATGGGAACAGAAGCAGGCTGCTGAGGGCTCAAGTCTTGAACAGCAAGCACCAAGCAGAAAAGGCCCTGGAAATGGTACTGAAGGCTTTGAAACCTCAAACGCGCCCCCAGTTACATAATTCCTCCAACAAGGCCACACCTCCTAAGCACCCCAAACAATGCCATTAATGTAGACCAAGTTCAAACACCTGAGACTATGCAGCATATCATTCAAACTGCCACACAAATCCATTTTAATCTAACTGCAAAGAACTGCTGTACTTCTACAGACCTCTCCCAATTAGAGACTTCTTTTAAAAACTGTGATCATCTTTTCCTGTTGTGGTGTTTAAATGAAAACGGTTCCCCGAAAGTTCATAGGGAATGGCATTATTTGAAAGAATTAGGACACATGGCCTTGGTGAATGAGGTGTGGTCTTGTTGGAGAAGTGTGTCACTGGGGGTGGGCTCTGAAGTTTCAAAAGCTCAAACCAGGCTTAGTGTTTCTCTCTTCCTGATACCTGCCAATCCATATGTAGAATTCTCAGCTCCTTCACCAGGACCGTGCCTGCCTGCCTGCACACCACCATGTTTCCCACCATGAAGACAAGTGGTCAGAGTGCCTTTTCCCATGTTCCCACTGACACAGACCAACAGACAGACAAACACAGACACACACACAAATGTGAGATGTGGAACCACAAAAGAAAAAATCTAACTTGGCAAACATCCTTCCTGTAAGGTATTTCTTTAAAAGCTACAGACTTAATTTAATCAAGAGTGGTACCTGAAAAATGACTCAAATATTGTATATTAATGATTCCCTCAGAATATCAAGAATCAACAAGAAAAAAGAGCCAAACTGAAGGAAATGAAATATTCCTTTACAAGGACCTGCTACCTTAAAGGTCTGGCACTGTGTAAAGTAAGTACCCTAGCCATCCCTACAATGATTGATTGATTGACAGACAGACAGACAGACAGATGAGCCTTCGCCATGAATAAAATCCAGAAAGCCATTATCACAAGGGAGTCAGTCCAAACCTAATTCTCACCACCAATCAAGAACACAGAGAACTAGCAAGTCCTTCAGGAATCCTAACAATGAGCTTGCAAGACAATGAAGCAAAACTGACAAAGAAAGCCCAGACTGGGGCAGTTTAACCAGCTTTTAGGAACATTTTTCAGAACACAGTTGACTGTTGGATGAGCACAAAGAACAATGAACAAGTACTGAGCCCGCATTGTCTCTGGTCACTTAAAAGGGTAAATGAACTGCGATGACAGAAGGCTTGGCTGCCATGTGCCCAGCAACAACAACAACAACAACAAAAAAAAAAAAACTGCAGGGAGAGATCAAGCACAATTACAATAGACAGCTGGAAATGCAAAGTAAACAGAGCAATCATGATGCAGTAAAGAGACAGATAGTCCTTTCTGAGAAAACTGAAGAGACCAAAAGTCAACACATCCTACCTGCAAAACTCAAAATCACCTGACATGTTTCTGATGAAGAAAGACTATCAGATCACCATGATAACCAGTAATTGCCAAGGTCATTCCTGACTGACAACCTGAACGTTATACGGTGATGTAGCAAAACAGTAAGGATCGTGTGCAGTGGTGAGCGCTTTTTGTACTGTTAAATATTGTTAAAAATTATTGTGAAGAGCAGCATAGGGCTCCCAGGTCCTGTAGCTAAACATTACCAAAAAATCTACTTAGCACCACAAAATTCATAAGGCTAGTTGAATACAGAAAATGACAAGACATGATTTAAAGGTATACCCTGGGCTAGGGAGAAGCTTATTGGGTAAAATGCATGACATAAGTGTGAGGACTACAATCTGGACATTCAGCACCCAAGTAAATGCCACGTGGGCACAGAGTCTGTCAGAAATTTCAGTTCTCGTCAAGAAAGCAGAGGGTTCCAAGTCAGACTAGCCCTCATCAGTCATCTCCGTGTTTAGCTGAGACCCTGCCTCAACAAGTAAGGTGGAAAGTGATCAAGAGGGCCCAAAGCTACAGGCACACACATGCACCCACACATGCAAACACTCATACACACACCCACACACTACATACACACAAAAGTGATCAAGAGGGCCCCCAAAGCTACAGGCACAGGCGTGCACCCACACATGCAAACATGCATACACACACCCACACACTACATACACACAAAGGGTGTATACTTTAAATAAGCTTGCCGTGTGGTGGTGGGTGGCACACACCTTTAATCCCAGCAAAGAAACATTATACATATTATTTCCACTTTATCAGGAACTATAGAGTGAAAACTCCAACCAAAAAAAAAAAAAACCTTTCGTATGGTTGCATGGTGATCCTAGCACAGAAACAGGCAGGATCTCCGAATTCAAGGCCAGCCTGATCTACAGAGCATGTTCCAGGCTAGGCAAGCCAAGACTCCACAGTGAGATCCTGTCTCAAATCTAAATAAGTAAGTTTTAGTTGGATTGTTTTAGTGCATGCAGATACACGCAGCACACACACCTATCACAGCAAGCACATGGAAATCAGAGGACAACTAGCAAAAGTCAGTTTTCTCCTTCTCCCACGTGGGCTCCTAGGATGGAACTCAGTCATCAAGACAACAAGCACCTACTAAGCCGTATCACTGACCCACAATATGTGTTTTAAAGTAAAAACTGGCTAGGTGTCCTGGTGCACGTTGTTAATCCCAGTACCTGGGAGGCAGGAAGATCTCTGCGTTCCAGACCAGCCTGGTCTACACAGGAGAGTCAAGACTACATAGAGAGACCCTTTCTCAGGCAGAGAGGGGACTGGACACAACAATGCACACCCACAATCCTATTCTACCACTTGGGAGGTAGCGGCAAGAAAAACAGGAAATCAAAGTCTGTCTTGGCTACATAGCAAATTTGAAGCCAGCCGAACTACCTGAGAGAGCCCACCTCAAAAATTAAAACGTGGGGACTAGAAAGATGACTCAATGGTTAACAGCACTGGATGCTCTTTCAGAGGACCCAGGTTCAATTCCCAGCAACCACATGGTGGCTCACAGCCATCTACAATGAGATCTGGTGCCCTCTCCTGACCTGCAGGCAGAACATTGTATATGTAATAAATAAATAATCTTATAAACAAAAAAGAGCAAAATATATGTCTAATCCAGATAATTATTTTAAAAAGATAAAAATAATTATATCTTGGGAGGAAAAAAAAAACACCTCAAAACATGAAAAGAAACAGGAGGGGACAGGAAAGGAAGAGGGGAGGCGAGGAACGGCCAGGCTACTGGAAACTTAACACAGACGATCTCTCTCTAAAGAACTGAATAAACAACGAAGATCTGTCTAACTTTAACAACAGTTTCCTACTTTTCCTGGTGTGAAACTTTTAAAAGCAGGTCTGGAAGTATAATAATAGAACATTAGCATGGACAAGGCCCAACGCCCCTCCCCCACCACTTGGGGAGGGTCATTTTTTAAATAAAACATTTTAAGAACAACCTCACCCTATCACCGTACTTTCCTTTATGTATAACTAGCTGAAATGTCAAAACCATCCTAGCTTTTCAATAATATTATAAGTTTTAATATTATATATTACAAATATGCAAAATCTATTACTTACTCAATGATTAATACACACAGTTACAGGCTTCCAGGTATCCAACATCTCTCATTCTCTTACCTGACTTTTCCAGGTTTAGAATGAACAAGTGTTTTAAAGAAAGAAAGCATCAAATAGTGTATGAGGCTGACGTATCTTTAAGATAATTCCCATTGCTGACACTGTAAGATGCCGGAGCAATGAGCACTTCTAAGAACATCAGAAGTCTTGCTGACAAAGGCCTGTAATCTCAGTAGCAAGAGGTGAAGACAAGAGCCGGGCGTTGGTGGCGCCCACCTTTAATCCCAGCACTTAGGAGGCAGAGGCAGGTGGATCTCTGTAGGCCAGTCTGGTCTACAGAGCAAGTTCCAGGACAGCCTCCAAATCAATACAGAGAAACCCTGTCTCGAAAAACCAAAAAAAAAAAAAAAAAAAAAAAAAAAGAGTGAAGACAAGAGGACCAGGAGTTCAAGGTCAGCCTGGGCTACAGGATTCCATCTCAAACAAAGCAAGCCAAAGGATCGGAGAGACAGTTGATCAAAAATGCAGGTCACCGCCCTACTAGCACCCTAGCTTGGTAACTGTTTAAAAAAAACAAACATAAAATGATAAAACGTGTGAAGCACTTAAGATGACAGTGGCAGTGGGGTAACAGCCTATGTGAGTAACAGAAGGCAGCTGGTAGATACCCAAGTTAGAATGCAGACTGAACACACACCCTACTTTGCTTCTTCATGAAGACTTGGCTGGGGTTGCTGAGACGACTCAGTTAGCGACTTCCAGCACCAGCATGGGCAGGGAGCTGAATTCAAATCCTCATCTCCCACATAAAAAGCAGGCACAAAGCTGCATGGACCTATAACCCGGTAACCCTGGACTGGACATGAGGACTCTCGGGGGCTTGCTGACCAGCCTAGCAGACTGGCCAGCTCCAGAGTCAGTGAAAGAATCTGTCTCAAAAAACTAGGATAGAGTCCAGTCAGAGAGTGGTGGCGCAAGCTTTTGATCCCAGCACTGGGAAGACAGAGGCAGGAGGATCTCTGTGAGGGCAAGGCCGGCCTGGTCTACAGATCCAGTTCCAGACAGTCAGGGCTGACACTGAGAAACTGTCTGGAAAGACAAATTAATAAAAATAAAAAATCCAGATGCTAATATCTGAACTAGAAACCAAAGCAGTACATTCCACTGCACAGAGAACAGGTACACAGAATAAAAAGGTGCACAAACAAATTCCCACCATGCTCTGACTCTGTGTCAGGTCCATGGTGAAATCAAACTGCACTTAATACTGTAAGTTCATTTTTATATTTATTTATTTGTTGGTTTTTTTGAGACAAGTTTTTTCTGTGTAGCATTGGCTGTCTTGGAACTCACTCTGTAGACCATCCATCCTGGAACTCAGAGATCTGCCTGCTTCTGATTCCCAAATGCTAAGATTAAATGCCTGTGCCACACACCAGGCTTAATACTATTAATACTATTGTAAGTAATAACATCAAGTTTTAGAAGTAAGACTGCATGGGTCCTATTCCTAGAGATGCTGACGTATTCAGTCTAGAGAGGACCATGTTTTTTTTTTCAAAGCTCTCCATGAGAGTCTAGTGTAGAGCCACGGCTAATAAGTAGTGCCTGAGGTTAGAGGATGGGGTAAACCTGGACATTAGGAAGTCCTGCTTATAAACCTGGGTCTTCCAACTAGCTGTTGCGTGCTCTCTCTCCGTAATCGAGAACAGAAAAACAAGGAACTGCCAGCCAGACTTGAGAATTACTCCTAACCAAGCTGAAAGTTAACCTGGAGGAACATACCCGATAGACAGTGCATCCACGAAACAAGTCAGAGATGAGGTAGCGACTGACCGGAGGAAGAAGCTGAACCAACGGCAAGCTTACAAATGGGAACACGTGTCAAGAAGCGACTCATTTGGGCCACTCAAAGACTAAGGACCTTAGTGACTCAAAGGTCAGTGGTGAAGAGGTTAAGATGTTTAGTCTGAGCCGGGCGTTGGTGGCGCACGCCTTTAATCCCAGCACTCGGGAGGCAGAGGCAGGCGGATCTCTGTAAGTTCGAGACCAGCCTGGACTACCAAGCGAGTTCCAGGATAGCCTCCAAAGCCACAGAGAAACCCTGTCTCGAAAAAACAAAAAAAAAAAAAAAAAAAACAAAAAAAGATGTTTAGTCTGTGTAAGGGCACAGCTAAGACTTTCTAGGTTCCCATTCCCATCCTCTCTCATAGTTTATTCCTGGAAACACTGGCCTGGAGTGACTCCAGACTCAAGTAGCGTGAGCTTGAAGGCTGAAAGCCAGGGGATTAAGCAGAAGTGTTTTTAGCAAACAGCAACCACCCCACTGCCCATTTCCTCTGCCGGGCTTTCAGAACACTGGCAGCCAGAAACAACTATCAGGTTCCCTTGCCCATAGGGGACACATTCCAAGACTCCAGTGGATATCCAGAAGCTCCCACGGCACCTTCCCACCGCCACTCATCACAACGCGGCCGTGAAGTGCAGGCAGAAGAGGGCGACTGAAAAACTATCACAACTCCTTCCTCCCGTTTTTCATATTGAAGATTGTTCTTAAGGAGATCTTAGCAACGTCACTACTCTAACGTTCACGTTTTTCAAAGAAGCATTTTGCAGCCCCACTTTCGGCGCATTCAGGAGTGAAGTAACCGTTGCACTTGGGGGGCCATTACTAAGTAAAATAAGAGATACTTGACCGCAGCGGGTGGAATGCCAAAGCCGCCGACCTCATGACCCCAAGGGTTACTGACTAACGTCTGTGTGCAGCCTAGATATCCTGGACAAAGGAGTAATTGGCTTCCCACTTGGATAATGTTCAGCTACTCAAAATTGGGATGGAGTTTAAAACTTAAAAACTAAGTGAGCTAATATGTAATCAAGAGCTCAGAACAGTGGCAGCCAAGAGTACCTAAGTTAAGTTCAATAAAAAGAAAGTTTAAGACTCCTAAATTGTTTATTTCTGGCATTCTGCAGATATTTTCAGACCACTGATAAGAGAAACCTTGGAAAGTTAACACAGTTGCTCATGCAAGGACAGTAGGTTCTGTCCACTGCACTGCACAAAAAAAATAGCAGAAAATAAAGAGATCATGAAAAAAATAAAAGCACAATACTTAAAAGAAGCACTTCACAAAATACAAAAATGGTTAATAAAATAATTTTAACCTCGGTCACCACAAAAACGCAAAATAAAGCTACACACTGATAAAGGACCGTACCACCACCCAAACCGCAACATCTTTTTTTAAATGATAAGCATCATCAGTAAGTAGTGGACTAACTGGAGTTTTACTGAGTGCTAATGAGTACAACCGCCATGGAAAAGGCCCGACTGTACCTAAAGTCAGAAACCTAAAAACAAAACAGTATCTGCCGGGGCGTTAGTATGCCTGTAATCCCAGCACTCGGGAGGCAGAGGCAGGAGGATCTCTGTGAGTTCGAGGCCAGCCTGGTCTACAGAGCGAGTTCCAGGACAGGCTCCAAAGAAGGCAGGAGTTTGTCAGCAGCCTGGGCCACACACCAAGACTCTCACCCAGAAACAAAGCCAAATAAATTCACACAAAAAATAAAATAAAATGAAATGAAAAATTCCACTCCTCCGAGCAATATACATACCCCAACCTAGTAATGTCTATTTCTTCTTGGTCTGTGTTGTTTCACTTAAACCCCTCATCACCTGCAAACTTAGGACTGTGATCTTTTTTCTCTGCAGACAATGCTTGGAAATACATTTTCTGCGATTTCCCCCGACGGCAAACTTCTCAGGAGTTTTTTTTCCCCTATTGGTCCTCCCAGAACTCAAATCCCTGAAACGCTAATAAGGAATCCCTAACTAACAGAACTTGAAAACAAAACGCCCCGAGCCAAAGATTTAAAAATAAAAAATAAAAAACAAAACACCAACAGATGACGTTTCTTCTCTCCCCTCTAACTCCGTTCAGGAAGCTCTGGGGCGCATCGTCTCTCGGCGGAGAAAAAGAGAGAGATGGTTCTTCTTCTCCCCCGCCGCAGCTCAACGAAAACCGCTGGCCGCTCTTTAAAAAAAAAAAAAAAAAAAAAAAAAACCGGAGGAAAGCGAGGCAACCAACCCGTCCGGGGAAGGAGTAAAAAAAAAAAAGTTCTGCTGTGAACCCTCCTGGCGCCCCCCGGGGCTGACCTCAGGTCAGGGAAACCAGCGCAAAGACGCCGCCGCCACCGCAACCCGACCGCAACCCGACCGCCGCCGCCGGCGGAAACCGCGCGCTTCACCTGGGACTCGCCCGCTAGCTCCGGGGCCCGCTCCCCCGCTAGCTCCGGGGCCGGCTGGACGCCCCGTGCGGAGTCGTCACCCGGCACACCTGCCCGCCGCAGCCACCGCCAGGCTCAGAGAAGCCGGGGGGCCACAGGCAGACGCCAACTTTCCAAGTTTAAGGAGGCGGCGGCAACTCCTCCTCCCGGGCCGAGAGCGCGGGCGCACCGACGACCCAGGCCGCCCGGGGCCGGGCGAGCGCGGGGAGCTCGGGGAGCGCAGGCCCCGGGCGGGCGGGCTCGCGCCGCAACTCTCGGGCAGCGCGGCCCAAGGCCTCGGAGCGGCGCTCGTCCATCCCCTCCCTCCTTTCCTTCCCTCCCTCCCTCGCCGCAGCTCCGGGCCTGGCGCGGCGCCGCTCACCTTGGAAACCTGGGGTGGACGTCGCCGTCAACATGAACTTCCCATCCAGCCGGCGGCCGCACCGCCGCCGCCGCCGCCGCCACAGCCGCCGCCGCCTCCGTTCTCCCAGCGCCTCGGCCCGAGCCGGCCCGGGCGAGTCGCGTCGTCGTCGTCCCCCGGCCCCCGGCGCGCGCCTCCCGCTCCGGAGCTGGAGACCTCGGGAGCTCGGGGCCGCCACCCGCCCGCTCGACCCTCAAGCCGCTCCGCCCGCGACACTCCGCCCGGAGAAGCCCCTTCCCCACCCCGGCACCGCAGCCTCCTCGCCCAGCGCGCCCGCCCGCTCCGCCAGCTCCGCCCGGCTCCGGCCGGGCCGCTTCAGGAAAGCCCAGGGCGCAGGCGCGGCGAAGGCCTTAAAGAGCCCCGGCCGAGCCTCTACGGCATAATGGGTTCGAGCAGGTTAGAGCCCCGGCCGGTTGGCGAAGGCAGAAGCACGGACCGAAGGGATTGGACCGCGGGCAGCGGCGGAGGCGGGGAGATCCCTGGTCTGTCCTCCGCCCACTCTCTTTTTTCCAAGCGCACCCTGCCGTCGGCCCTGCGGAGTGCTGACTGTCACCAGCCGCCAGAACCGCCCCGGGGCAGCAGAAGACGCTGGAGCAGCCGCCGCCGCCACCCTCCGCCCCGGGGAGCGGGCACCCCGTGCCTGGGGGCGCGCAGGGCGGACGCGCAGCCTGGCGAAGGCTGGCCCCGAGTTCGACCCTCAGAGAATCGTGACTCCAATGGCCCTTGGCCGTGGTCAAACAGGTCTTTTCTCCACCAATCCTCTGGACGCCCGTGGGGTTTATTCGGAGTCCGACAGAGGGCAGAAGGGTGAGCAAATCATCCAGCACCCACGAAGGAATTCTTAGAAGGAAAGGACTTAGTACAGGGACAAAAGCAGCCTATTCTCGTTCGGGTCCTGTCTCGGGAAGAGCAGGCAAGAGAAAAAAAAAAAAAAAGATAGAGGCAATGTAAAAATCTTCCTTGTTGTACGCTTAGAAGTGGCCGAAGTTATAGCAACTATCACCCGTGCAGTCAGAAAAGCTCCAAAATTGTCTACTGCTCTTGACACCCTGGTTTTCTTAGATTTATATTTTAAGACCTACCCAGAAAAGGTTCCACTATCATAAGCACTTCTAGAAAAGAGTATGTTTTTTTTTCTTTTTCGACAAGACTAGGAAATAAAAAATGGGAAGTAAAACCATGTCCTCCACCCAGCTAAAACCTTTGAAAATTTCAAAATGCTCCTGAGGCAATGTTTTTTGCATAACTTTATGTTATTAAAGTCAATTTTAACAACTTCATTGCAACTTGATGCACCTTGCATAACAAAATGAAACTTTTTTTAATAATCTACTTCTTCAATTTACTTGCAGATCCTGTTGCTTTTTCTAAGACTTATTTATTTATTTACTTAGTATGTATATACTGTGTTCTGTCTACATCCATCCCTGCAGACAGATGGTTGTGAGCCACCATGTGGTTGCTGGGAATTGAACTCAGGACCTCCAGAAGAGCAGCCAGTGCTCTTAACTGCTGAGCCATCTCTCCAGCCCGATCCCGTTGCTTTTTTATCTACTGGCTTCCTTGAATCTGTGCTATGTCCTCCCATCACCAGCTATCCTGTTCTCTCGATGGACAGGTAGACTCTTTAAGGACACTGACCTGTTCTATCCACACCCCTCCTACCAGCCTCTGAGTCTCTTCACAGCACAGGGAGAATGTTCGTTGAGCATCCCATCCCCTTAGACAAAGCCTCCTAACCAAGCCCTTCAGTGCCAAGCCTCTCTCCTCCCTTCCCCAGCCACAACTGGCAGCTTGACTCTGAGCAGTTCCTGCCGGCTCCTGACAGCTTTCTCAGACTTCCTTTGCCTGAGAAGTAATTCTAGCCCTTGTCTTATCCAGACCCTGATCTCTGGGTCCGAGGCATACCCTTTGACTGCCCCAATGTCAATCCTGTCCCGTCACCTTCAGGGACGTTGTAATTGTAGGACTCTTCTGGGAAGTTTTGATTCTCCTCCTTAAACATTTGGCTCCATAAGTTTGGAGTCGTGTTTTCATATCTGTTCGGCGAGTTCTAGAGTCACAGGTTTGAGAACTTGAACTGGATGTGGCTTAAATGTTACTGACATCACATGTAAATGTCACATTTTGACATTTGGAGTCAGAACCTAAAAAGAAATGCTAGTTATTATTTTAAAAAATAGATTTTAAGCCGGGCGTTGGTGGCGCACGCCTTTAATCCCAGCACTCGGGAGGCAGAGGCAGGCGGATGTCTGTGAGTTCGAGATCAGCCTGGTCTACAGAGCTAGTTCCAGCATAGCCTCCAAAACAATACAGAGAAACCCTGTCTCGAAAAACCAAAAAAAAAAAATAGATTTTAAATTCTTTTAGCTGGGGTGTCATGAGATTCTTTGGATAATATTAAAGCAGAGTGCACAAACCTCCCACTGAGGAAGGATATACCAGGCTATGGTGGCACATGCCTTTAATCCCAGCAGGAAACAGAGGCAGGCCAAGCTCTGTGAGTTTGAGGCTAGTCTAGCTAGTCTACACAGCAAGTTGCAGGACAGCCAAGGCTAAACACAGAGAAACCCTGTCTCAAAAAAAGATAGCTGTAGCTGTGGACACTATGAAACTATTAACACTACTTGTTTCAAAAGTAGAAGACGGGTGCTGGAGAGATGGCTCAGAGGTTAAGAGCACTGACTGCTCTTCCAGGGGTCCTGAGTTCAATTCCCAGCAACCACATGGTGGTTCACAACCATCTACAATTCAATCTGGTGTCCTCTTCTGGCATGTAGGCAGAACACTGTATATGTAATAAATAAATAAATCTTTAAAAAAAAGTAGAAGACGGGAAAATTAAGAATGAAGCATTTCCAGAGATGGGAAGAGGACTTTTTTTTTGAATACCCAAAAGGCTTAAAATAGTACTTTTTCCATTTTAAAGTATGTGAATTATCAATTTTCAAATGAGTGACAACAGGATATATAGTATATAACTCCAAGTATGCAAAATTCCAGAAAAGGCAAAACTAAATGTAGTGAAAACAATTATAACAGGGCTAGAGGCATAGCATCTTTGGGGTCAGCATGTTACAATGCAATTATCCTGAAATACTAATCTCAAAACAATATTCCTGGGAAGGGCCATTACCTTGACCCTCCAGCATTATTCCTGGCTCATGTCTTTCTTTCACTTGCCCCCAAGTGTGTCAGTTTATTGGGTAAAAGAGCTCACACTTCAATGCCCCACTTTAATTGCTGATTCTAACACTCCTGGTGCTCAGGCGCTTTCATAAGTGATATGCCCCTGTGTGAATCCTACCCCGACACCACCTCTGCCCCTGCCACTCTGCTGCGTACGCTCCAGAGTTCAGATTCCAGTCTAGACCCTTCCATGGAGGAGACAGAGGAGGTGTGCCAGTGGGTAGCAGCCCTGTCTTCAGAGGCCATTTTATTTAGCCAGTTCAGTTAGCAATTGGAAGTTCTCTGTGTTCCATACTGCACACCCTAGGCATGGGTTTAGGTCACTATCTAGGAAGGAAACTCCTCTAACCTGCCAAGGGTTAGAAACAGAAAACCATAACACTGACTGCCAAAGGTGTTCAATCCGGCCACATGAGCCCCATCGGCCACCGAAAGAAGACAAGGGAGGAATTCTTCAGAAGGGTCAAGCCACCCCAGGTACAGAGGCAGAACTCATCGGCCAGGTCAAATCCACCCTGAGCAGCTGGCCTCTGAGCATCCTCTGAAAAGCAGGGCATTCCTGTCTATTCTAGGATTAACACTGTCTAATTCCGGGGGCTAGCCACGGGTGACGACTTCTTCTCGGGCACACTCACACCTTCCAAGTGCAGTAACAGCACCTGTGGCCAGGAGCCCAGAGTCACAGATCATTGCCATCTGTCAGAAGTTAAGTCAGTGGCACTATTCCAGGAGGAAGAGGAAGACAACTCCACCGAGAGTCCAAGATAACGGTCAAAACTGTTTGCTTTGGGGGGAAAAAATGAAGGCTCGACAGCAGTGGTAGTGGCCCACACCTTTAATCCAAGCCCTCGGGAGGCAGAAGCAGGCAGACGTCTGAGAGTTCGAAGCCAGCCTGGTCTATTGAATTGAGTTCCAGGACAGCCCCCAAAGCTACAGAGAAACCTTGACTCGAAAACAAACAAAAAAGGATGGCTCATACTGAAACAGTTACAGCAGCACACCTGTTAGGCGCTTCACTTACCACCGGAGGAATCTAAGATACTCATGGCAGAAAGCTGGAGCCTCTCCACTTACCGGGGCTCTAAAAGTGGCTTCAGCCTCACCGCTTTCCTTCACCACTGTAAGACACAAGCATCACCCTAGGAAGGACAGGCAGCAAGGCACACACTCTTGCTGCCACCTCTCCTCCCTTGTGTGGAGGGAGATGCAGATCACTGATTGAAACTGAGCCTGTGGCTCCAGAGTGGTGTCTGTCTGTCTGTCTGTCTGTCTGTCTGTCTGTCTGTCTGTGTCTCTGTCTCTCCCTCCCTCCCTCCCTCCCTCCCTCCCTCTCTCTCTCTCTCTCTGTATCTGTCTATGAGGTTTGTGTGCCTGTGTCTATGACTGTTCACATGCATGTGGACATGTGAGTTTGGTGTGTGGATCCATGTGGAGGCTTGAGGCCGATGTGATGGTTGGGAAAATTTTCAATCACCCTCTCCCTTATTAGTTGAGGCAAAGTGTCTCTCCCCTCAGTCCCTCCATCCTTCCCTCCCTCTTTCTCTCTGTCTTTTTTTTTTTTTTTTTTTTTTTTTGAGACAGGGTTTCTCTGTATTTTTTTTTTTCTTCTTCGAGACAAGGTTTCTCTGTGGCTTTGGAGGCTGTCCTGGAACTTGCTCTGTAGACCAGCCCGGCCTCGAACTCACAGAGATCCGCCTGCCTCTGCCTCCCGAGTGCTGGGATTAAAGGCGTGCGCCACCACCTCCTGGCCTTAAGTATCTGTCTTAAAGCCAGACAAAATTTGACGCAATTAGAATTAGTGATTTCACTTAAACTGTCGGAATTTTCTGAGAACTGGTAAGGTCCACATTTCATACAGCAAATGACTGGAGGCTGTAATTTAAACTTTTAAGCATACTTGGCAAAAGTATATTTAACTTCCTCGTATACCCCAATCTTCTATTCCATAAAGCAGTTAGTAATACCTACTTACGCACTGAACCGATCGTTAAGTGGAATGAATATGCAAGGCACGTAAACGCTCACCAAGTGGTAGTTACCGCAATTGTTATTTTCCAAAGTCACAGAGTACCAGGGCAAATATTAAAAAGACTCTGAATTAGGAAAAAAACCCCTGACTTTACCACCTGCTAGTTATTTGGGTTTTAATCTTGTACAGTCTGTTTCTTCATCAGCCAATTAAAGCTGAGAGTCCAGCCAGGGAGATGGCTCAGCGGATAATAGCACTGGCCGTACAAGCCTGGCAGCCTCCTGCCTTCAGTCGCTGGGACCCACACAGGAAAAGACCGAAGCCAGCCATGGCATGCATCGGTGCTCCCTGCACTTCTGCCACGGGGTGGAGAAGCCCCCAGAAGGCTCACCTGTCAGCCTGCCCGGAGTGCACAGCAGCACAGACAAGAAGGATTCGGCCCAGACAGGTGGGAGTTGAGAACAACACAGGTGTCCTTTGACCACACACACACACGTGCACTGGGGCACTCATGCACCCGCATTTACACACTCACGCTCACACTCTACACAAAGTAAGGAAGCCTGAAACATCCAAAGTCCCCACTGACAGATGTGCCGAGAGATATGCTTCTGCTTCCACATGAAGTGGCCTGTGTCAGCAAAGCCAGGGATAGAATTTATTCCATGTAAATTAGCCCTGTTCTCATTTCCACCAAAAAAAAAAAACCCACTGTGGCTTTATACTATTTTTAGACAGAACCATATGTAACTCAGATTGGCCCCAAACTCGCTACACAGCTGAGGATAACCTGAATGAACTAATCCTCCTGCCTCCACTTCCCAAGGCAGATACCACGGTGCCCGGTAACCCTACGGTAAAATGAGCTTCGCTTCTTTGATGGCCCCGTATTCTTAAGCACAAGGAGCAACTTGGGAAAGAAACAACTGTCAACATTGCCACCAACTGGAATTTGTAAGTAAATATTATGGCAACCATTTTTCTTGGCTAATCTGTATCCCCATGTGAGAAATTAGAAGCCTAAACAGACAAAGTAGGCCTTTGTTCATAAATAAAATCAATACCAGCAGTCAATAACAGCAGGGAAAGAAACTATTGAAAACCAAAAGCTAATTATTTTTTTTCAAAAGCTAATTATTAAAACACCTCTCTAAAAGGTGTGGAATCAAACCCATCACTTTACATAACTCCTGGTTGCTTACGTGAATGACCACAGCACAATGAGATAATATTCTTAAAATAAAACTGAAGACATATTCACCAACTGCTACCGTGCTTTAAAGATTAATGGAGGTACACAAATCCTAATTCAGTAAAAAACTGAAATTCCCTGCTGCAATGATCACATTTTTATAAGCACCATAGTAAAAAGAAGAAGAAAAAAATCGGACTCCATTTTTAAGACATTTACCTGCCTCCTATCGGGGTTTCTAAAAGCAGCAGTCATTTTGGTAGTAACCATGATGAGCCAGGAATTGAATTGAATTTACAGCTGACTCATAGGGAGTGTTTACATCGATGTTGCCGGGGCTCCACCCATTTAACACCCTTTCAGCTCCAGCCCATACTTGATGGATAGTAACTTTAAGGGAAGCTGGGAATGTGGAGGATTGGGGAAATTGGAAACAAAGCCTTTGGGGATCTAGACACACTAACAGACATTGGTTCTTCTCTTTCCTCCTTCCCTCCCTCCCCCTCCTTTCTTCCTTCTTTGACTGTGTCAGAATGATCAGGTCTGAGATGCCAATTATGAGGCGCTGGCTTGAGGCTTTTCTGAATTGGTACTCTCAGCTTTGACTTTAACTTCAGAAAAAATTACTAACTTATCTCTCTGTCTCTGTGTCTCTCTATCTCTGTGTGTCTGTCTCTCTGTCTCTGCCTATCTCTGTGTTGTCTCTCTCTCTGTCTCTGCCTATATTTCTCTGACTCTCTCCCTCTAATACCCCCCAGAAGGAGGAGGAGTTTTGAGAGGCTCCCCATTTTCACCAGTGCCCACGTGACCCATCCTGAAATGACATGAAACATAAACTATCTACTGAGGTCGGGCTTTTTGATGTTGAAGATACCTGTAAAGGTCTGTGTGTATGAGGAGGGAAGTTCTGATGTCTTAGCTACCTTTAAGTCACCATGTTCCTCTGTGGATGACACCAATAAACTTGTTGTAGATGTATCTATGACTGTATGTGTCTGTGTGTGTGTTTGTGTGTGTGTGTATGTGTATGCATAATAAATAAAATCTTTTTAAAAATATGGCACCTCTGTTCACACTCATATAAGAAAATAGAATTTGATATTAAAGACAAATATAAGGGACTGGTGGTTGAAAAACTGCTCTTGCAGAGAACCAGACTTCCCAGCTGGCATATGGTGTCTTACAACCACCTGTAACCCCAGTTCCAGGGACTCTGACACCCTTTTTGAGGCCTCCACAGGCTCCTGCACTCACAAAATGCATGCATATACACTCAGACAAAACACGAATCTCATACAAATAATTTTTTTTTGGTTTTTCGTGACGGTTTCTCTGTGGCTTTGCAGGCTGACCTGGAACTAGCTCTCGTAGACCAGGTTGGTCTCGAACTCACAGGGATCCGCCCGCCTCTGCCTCCCGAGTGCTGGGATGGGATTAAAGGCGTGTGTCACCAACGTCTGGCTATAAATTTTTATTTTTATTTATTTATTTACTTTTTTGGTTTTTCGAGACAGGGTTTCTCTGTGGCTTTGGAGGCTGTCCTAGAACTCACTCTGTAGACCAGGCTGGCCTCGAACTCACAGAGATCCACCTGCCTCTGCCTCCCAAGTACTGGGATTAAAGGCGTGCGCCACCAATGCCCGGCTAAATTTTTATTTTTTTTAAAGATTTATTTTGCAGGTCAGAAGAGGATACCAGATCTCATTACAGATGGTTGTGAACCATCATGTGGTTGCTGGGAATTGAACTCAGGACCACTGAGCCATCTCTCCAGCCCCCTATATGTGTTCTTGTATAGTGTTTCTCACATGGAATAAAAACCACTCTATCGTGACAAATAAAACACACCACAGCTTGTGTGCCTCCCCTCCCCCATACATAGAAATGGTGAATACAATTTTGTTTTAATTCAAAATCTGGGCTAGAGAGACAGCTCAACAGTTTAGAGCAGTTTGTCTGTTTGTCTTTCAGAGAATCTGGTTCCGTTCCCCGGCACCCACATCATGGCTCACAACTAACCATAACTCTGTTGGGGAAGTCCTGTTATTTGCCTGTGCATTTGTCAATAAAGTACTGTCTGGCCAATAGAAAACCTAGATAGGAGGGACTAGGAGGCGAGGAGGATTCTGGGAAGGGGAAACACAAGAGAGTCAACATGTGACGCCATGGGGGTAGGACGCCGGGAACTATTCTCCGGTAAGAAACATACTTAGATTAACAATTATGGGGTAATTACTTAAGGCAGAGCTAGCCAGTAAGGGACAAGCAAGGCCAACAGCTTCATAATTAATACAGCGTCTTGTGTGTTTATTTGGGGGCTACAATGAGGCAGAGCCCAGGCAGCTGGCAGGGGGATAAACCAAAGCGGCTAGCAAGAAAAAGCTTCTCTTAACATAATGGTTGTCAGGAGTGGGATTGAACTTCCACGCAAAACAACAAAAGCTTTCAAGGAATTTTAGAAACAGAAGAACAGAGAGAAGCACAGATTTTGGCAGCAGCATTTTTCTCAGGTGTGCTCTGTTTTGCTAGCCACAAGCCGAGATTCACGTGGTTCGTTTACTTGAGTCTTCCTGACTCAGCATAAAAAGAAAAAGAAAAGGAAAAAAAAACCAACAAGGTTGTTTTAAGAGACTCTGCTAATGATTGAAAGGTGTGTACGTACAGCTGGAAGTGGCAGCTTTTGCTGGAGGTCAGCATGGACTGAGGCGGTAAGCTAGAATCACGCTTACGCCCGCCATCTTGAAACAGCCGCGGGTTTACAGATAAGACACGTGGCCAGAAAAACATAAAGATTTACAGTAAAGTCAGACTTGGATGAAGAAAATCTCTAAAGGTTTACAGTGTGTTTAAAAATATACGTAAGATTGAGAGAGAAAATAAAGAAGCCGCCTGTGGTGGCGCACGCCGGTAGGAATTGCTCCAGAGGCAGAGGCAGGCAGGTTTCCAAAGAGAAACCCTGTCTCAGAGAAAAATAAATAAAAGTGAAAGAAATAAAGCAATAATAGATAGATAAATAAATAAGCCACGTAAAGATGGAAAATACACAGAGAGTCTGGATACTGTATGCTATTATGTTTTTCAGTTTTTTGCTTGCTCAAGAAGGAACAAATACTAAAGTACACTTGATTATAAATGCTGCTGAATTAATCCAACTTCTATCTTTTGAAAATGCCTTGACTTCAAAATTTAAGTATAATGATATGTTACTTGGGAAAGGAGATTTTACTTATGTTTCTACAGAAAATGAAAAGCTGAGAATTCCTTCCAGGCTTCTGTGGTTTGACGAACCAAGACCCCCGGAAGCAGTGGATCAGATGTTCCAACAATTGAAACAGCTAAGATGATGCAGCTTTACAGACCCCGAAAATACGGATTTATACAGGTTTCTGAGTTTTGTCATGATCCCCATGGTATGAACGGCACCCCCTTCCAGCAGGAAGCAGTTTGGAATGAGCGATGTCCCAATTCCCATCTTGTTTATAAATCTTTGTTGTCATTTAAATGGGATTGTTTATAATTGATTAATGAGCACAGCCAATCTTCTTTTAATGGTAAAAAGGGGAATTATGGTATGGGTATTGCTTTTCATTTATTGATACAAATTCAAGGTCAATTTTGTGATGTTTATTTCTCCTCTTGATTAAGCATTGTGCTTATACTGATCTTCTAAAATGTAATGCATAATTGAATACAGACTATAGATAGTTACTTATAATAGAATTTCTAGTTACATAAGTTAGGTTTTCTAGATATACAGAAATATATTTGAGATGGACAGTCTTCAAACCTCTCAAAGACCTTCAGAACATGGCATTTAAAATGGTTTAGGGTTTGTCTTGACAATGAGAAATGTCTGCTCCTGGCAGCACCAATTACGTCTGAGAGGAAGATGGGCATCGAAGAAACTCGTTATAAAGTTTGCTTTCAACATGGCAAGATTAGCCATTTGGGCAAGAAACTGCTCTTGCCTAGATTGTTTGACTGTTGTTGTATCATCTGGACATGCAGGACCCACAGGAAAGTGACTACTGAACTCAGTCTTACAGGGTTCCTGCTTGATGAAGAGTCTACGAGACTTTCTGCAGGACAAAGAAAAATGACTTACAGACTGCCAATGCAGATGGACAGTTTGAAATTTCCTGCTTTGCTGAGAAATCTTCTGGACACATTGTGGCCTATGGGCTGAAGATGGATGCCCCAACGTTACAGAGGAACTTCGGGTCACTGTCCAGGCAGTAAGATGTCTCTGTCAATCCTAGTGTTTATATATTATCCTTCTGTGGTCTTTGATGGAGTTGAAGACAGATAGTTATAATTATAGTTTTCCTTAGTTATAATAAAAGATACATATAGAACTTTTGACTCACAAGGATGGGATGGATGATATTTTCTTTAAATCTTGCTAAAATATTGTAACTATGTTCTTACTTGATAACTGTTCTGTCATATACAATTTGACTATGTTAAAATTAAGACCTTTCTTTTGTTTAAACAGAAAAGAGGAGATGTTGGGGAAGTCCTGTTATTTGCCTGTGCATTTGTCAATAAAGTACTGTCTGGCCAATAGAAAACCTAGATAGGAGGGACTAGGAGTCGAGGAGGATTCTGGGAAGGGGAAACACAAGAGAGTCAACATGTGACGCCATGCGGGTAGGACGCCGGGAACTATTCTCCGGTAAGAAACATACTTAGATTAACAATTATGGGGTAATTACTTAAGGCAGAGCTAGCCAGTAAGAGACAAACAAGGCCAACAGCTTCATAATTAATACAGTGTCTTGTGTGTTTATTTGGGGGCTACAATGAGGCAGAGCCCAGGCGGCTGGCGGGGGATAAACCAAAGCGGCTAGCAAGAAAAAGCTTCTCTTAACATAACTCCAGTTCCAAAAGATCCTTCTCCCTCCTTTGACTTCCTCAGCACACACATGTGTGGTGCACAGACATACATGCAGGCAGAACACTCATACACGCCGGGCGTTGGTGGTGCACGCTTTAATCCCAGCACTCAGGAGGCAGAGGCAGGCGGATCTCTGTGAGTTCAAGACCAGCCTGGTCTACAAAAGCTAGTACTAGGACAGCCTCCAAAGCCACAGAGAAACCCTGTCTCGAAAAACCAAAAAAAAAAAAAGAAGAAGAAGAGGAAGAAAAGAAAAAGAAAAAGAAAAAAACCCCACTCATACACATAAAAGTAAAACAAATAAATCTGAAAAACAAAATCAGAACCAACTCGGCGGCTGTGTTCATGAGCCTCTTTGGAAGCAGACCCTTCAGTTCCAGTCCTGGTTTCGATGACTCCAGTCCTGGACCTAAACCGGCTGCAACTAATGGGAAAGAAGGAATCAGAAGGCTGGACTGAATCCCTGACACTTGGGAACCTTAAGGGGGAATATGTGTTCCTTGTTGTTTTAATACATCAAATGTCACAGTGACTCGTCGTCATAAATAGCAAGTAACTGGCCTATCACAACAGTGACCGAAATTGTTTAGTCTTGGTTTGTTGAAGCTTAAGTTCCAGTAAGAGAAAAGGGACAGGGAAAACAAAATACGTATGTTTAAAACACAGTTTAGAAAATGAAATACACACAAAAGAATGAAGTTGGACCATTCGTTGCCTTACAATATATACAAAAATTAGCACACGATGGACTAAAGGCTTAAAGTTAAAAGCCAAAATTGGCCAGGCATTGGTGGTGCACGCCTTTGATCCCAGCACTCGGGAGGCAGAGGCAGGCGGATCTCTGTGAGTTCGAGGCCAGCCTGGTCTACCTAGTGAGTTCCAGGATGGCCTCCAAAACAATACAGAGAAACCCTGTCTCGAAAAACAAAAAACAAAAGCAAACAAAAAAGCCAAAATTACAGGACTTTTGTAAGAAAACTGATGGTTTGAATATGAAATTTCCTCCAAAGCGATAGGGACCAAAGCCCCGAGAAGGTGCTGCTCACGATGGCCCTGTCTCAGTCTGTGGTTTAATCCCTCA